CCTCCTCCTCCTCCTCCTCCTCCTCCTCGGGGAAAGGGCGCTTGGACCGGTACGTCCGCACGGCCGCTCGCCCAGCCTCAGCCCTCTCCCACCCGCCCAGGCGAGAAGAGTCCGAATTTCCGCGCGATTTTCCCGCTTCGGTCTAACACCGTGCGACCACGCGGGTAAATCGCCGGGTCGCGCCTCAGAGCCGGACTTTTCCTCGGTCTCGCCCACTTTGCCCGCTCGGGCCGGCTCAGCAGCCCTTGTCCCACTTGGCCCGCTCCTCGTCCGATCTGTGGGAGCCGAAGCAGCTACAGCAAGGGTCCGTCGCAAGTTCCGATTTGCTGGCCGGCGGTGGTGCTCAGCCTTGTTGGAGACATTCGGGAAAAGCAAAGTGTGTCAGCATCCCTTTGAACGCGTCCGACTGACCGCCGTCTGACATTGCATTGCACTGCCGTCTACAGTTACTACCTGCCCCGAGGCAACAGCTACGGCCACGTCCAGGCGCTCGACTCGATTGTCAAGGACGGCCTGCACGATGTGTACAACCAGGTTGCCATGGGCAACTGCGCCGAGAACACCGCCAAGAAGCTCTCGATCACGCGCGAGCAGCAGGATGAGTTCGCCATCGAGTCGTACCGCCGCTCGGCTGAGGCGTGGAAGGCCAACGCCTTCGCCAACGAGATCGCCCCCGTGACCATCTCGGACAGGAAGGGTGATGTGGTCGTCAGCGAGGACGAAGAGTACAAGAACGTCAAGCTCGACAAGATCCCCACGCTGCGCCCCGTCTTCGACAAGAACGGCACCATCACGGCTGCCAACGCGTCGACGCTCAACGACGGTGCCTCGGCGGTGGTGCTCGCCTCAGAGGCCGAGGTTCAGAAGCTGGGTGTCAAGCCTCTGGCCAAGATTGTGGCGTTCGCCGATGCTGCCTGTGCGCCCATCGACTTCCCGATCGCGCCCGCCTACGCCATCCCCAAGGCGCTCGAGCGTGCCGGTCTGACCAAGGACGACATTTCGCTGTTCGAGATCAACGAGGCCTTCTCGGCCGTTGCGCTGGCCAACAACCAGATGCTCGGCCTCGACGCGTCCAAGGTCAACGTGCTCGGCGGCGGTGTTTCGCTCGGCCACCCCATCGGCTCGTCCGGTGCGCGCATCGTCGTTACGCTCGCGCATGCCCTCAAGCCCGGCCAGTACGGCTGCGCAGGTGTCTGCAACGGCGGCGGTGGTGCTTCCGCCATCATCATCAAGCGCGAGAACTAGACGCAAATCGCACACACACGCCTCGCACCCCGTTTCCTCAGCTGTGTCGGCACCAAATATAAAAGTGTTGAAACTATGACACGATCCGTAAGACAGTTCTCGTTGCGGACGAAGGTATGGTGCAGAGATGCGGGTATAGATTCGGTTCCAGTCCGAGTCGCAAACAGCACGAGAGGTCGACACTATGCACGGCAGCGCCACGCATCAGGTCCAAGCGGCGGCCTGGTGTCGCAAGTTGAGCAAGAAGGCATTGAGTTTGCGAACGTCCTGTTGATAGCGCGCACAGAGAGGCCATGAAGAATAATCGACAAGTCAGCAATCCCGTTCTTCCTCCGCTGCGACCCGGCGGAAGAATTCAAAGCAAACTTACGGTGACTTCCTTCTTCCAGTCGTTCATCTCCCTCGTGCGTTCGCCCGCCTCGGCGGTGGACTTGGCAAGCTCGCTCCTGCACGCAAACACCTCTTTGCGCAGCTGGCGTTTCTGCTTGCGAGCGCGCACGAGCTGCGAGATGAGCGTGGTGCGCGAGTCTGTCTTTTCGCTGAGGTTGAGGAAGTTGGAGCGCACCGACTTGCGCAGAGCCTTGAGCGCCAGGAACGGAGCCTTGGCCGGTTGCTCCTCGATGGCGCTGCGCAGCTCTTCGTCGACGACGGACCAGATGATGTCGACGTCGTTGAGGTATTTGCCCGACTTGCGCTTCTTGGCCGACGGCGCACCAGCTTCGTCTCCCTCGTCGGCGTCGGTGGCCGAGTAGACGAGTGTGAGCGCACGCTTGAGCCGCTTCTGCAGGTCGCGTCCGGACCGCGCAGGGCCGCCGACCGCACCGCCGCGGTGTCGCTCGATCATGGTGCGGTCCATGACCGTCTCGTCCTGCTCCACAGGCTCCCGGAGCAGTGCGCGCGACCGCGACTTGGCTGGGACGGCCGACTTGGGGGGACGACCCCTTCGCTTTTCGGTCGGTGCGCTGTGCCTCTCTGTGCCCGGGCTGCCCTGCCGACGGCGCTGGCGCGCGTCCAGACTGCGTTTGGCGGCGCGGGCAGCGGGCGAGTCCACGTGCGCTCGCGTGGACGGGCTGTCGGCAACGCTGAGTCGAGAAACGCTTGCGCCGCCAACGCTCGGTCTGGTTCGTCGCACCGAGGTGTCGACGTTCGACGAAGATGCAGCGGGCGAGGGGATGACGGGCAGAGATTCGTCCATATCATCGAGACCAGCGTCCCAGCCTGGTGACGCATCCAAGGCTGCGCCTCCGCCAGGAAGCGAATAGTCGTCTTCGTCACCGAGCTGGCTATCCACATCCTCATCCGCATCGCGTGCGTTGCGTTGAGACGCGCGTGAAGCGCTGGCCACTGACGATTTCTGGATGCGCGAGGGTGCTGGCGTGCTGCTGATGGGTGCGGAGGAATGCGGTCGAGCTACGCGCCTGGGAACGCCAATACTGGCGGATGCATCCGGCCGACTCGAGTTGAGACTCTGGTCCGGCAGCAGCGAGGTGTCAGCGTCGACGACTACGGATACATCTGGAGACGATTCTGCTGATGCTGCCGCCGCCGCCGCTGCGGCTGCTGCCGCCCTCTCCTTCTGGCGCGGACCCGAGCCTCTGGGCCGCCCTGGTCTGCGTCGAGTCTCTGAATTTTCGGTGGAGACGGAGGTGTCCTGGGTGCCTGTTGATGCAGCTGGTGCTCTTGCGGTCGCTGATGTGGATGGCGCCGACTTTTTGGCCGGCAGCTTGAACTGGAAGTCGCGTTGCATGGCAACTGCTGTGCCTGCGCCTCTCATGCGCTCCTGACGTCGATCCGCAAAGCGATGTGTAGACGGACCTGCTACTTCGGCAGCACGCGATGTGCTTGGCCTGGACGCGGCATTGCTGCTGCTACGTCGTCCGCCTGAGCCGGTGCCTCGTCCGCTCATGTCTGGATACGCGTGTGTTATCGGATCGCTGTATGCGGATGGTCCGAATCAAGGCGGAGGTTCTACTGCGGTGAAAGTAGAAAACGATGCGGATGAGCTGTCGGGCTGCGCCGATGAGGCTGTCGAGGAGAAACAAGGGGCCGATGTGTTGTCGTTGGCTGAGGGGAACCGGAGAGATGGAGGTGTTGGTGAATTGGGCTGAGCCGAGCGGCCAGAGAGCGCGGCGCGTCGAGACGCGTTTGGAATTTTGGTCGAGTCGCTCGAGAGTCGGCACATCCGCGAGCTGCCTGCTGATGGGAGCTGCAGGGTTTGTGCCACAAAAGTGGAGTGCCATACGCGCGACCTCGCGTTTCACATCCGAACAACACGCATCCAACCAATCCTTCCCTTCATCGCGATTCTTTCGTCCTGTCACACTCGGCGCAGTCACCTCTTCACAGCAAAACCGGAAGTGTGATCGCGATGCCGCCGAAAAGGACCAACACTAGTGCACTTTCAGACGCGTCCAGCTCGACCATCCCCAAGCGTCCAAGAGGACGACCGCGTAAGGATGCCGATGTGTCGCTCAGCTCGACAGTGGGCGGACCCACTCCTGCGAGGAGAAGCGCTGCAGCCTCGTCGTCCTCGTCGTCTCGCAGACAAGCACAGGACTCCGGCGACGTTTCGCTAGCTTCCACCCTTGCACCCTCCACACCGGCTCAGCCGAAGAAGCGAGGCAGACCGGCCAAGTCGAGCCTCACAACCCCCGCCATGCGCGCCTTCACTTCCGCAGACACGAGCGCCGCTTCGAGCGCTGGACCCAAGAAACGCGGCCGCCCACCCAAGCCAAAATCGATCCTATCGGCGCGTGACGACCGTACCCTCACCTCGCCCGACAACAGCGTGTCTTTCTCGGATGATCCAGCACACCGAGCCCTGTTGCGCGGCCTGGCCAACCAGCGCGCAGTCCGCGATGCCGACACCACCGCCGGCTCTTCGGTCGCTCCGCCACGCAAGAGAGGCAGACCGCCGAAATCAGCGGGGACCGCCACATCCGACACCTCGATCGACATGTCTGCCGCTGCGACGCCGAACGCTCCAGCTCGAAAGAGGGGCCGACCCCCCAAATCTGCTTCCGCAGCAGTTGATGCGTCCGTCTCGATGCCCACCGATGCAACACCAGAAGCACCAGCTCGCAAAAGAGGCAGACCTCCCAAATCTGTATCTACGGCTCCCAACAACTCGGTCTCGACGTCAACGCCTGCCGCCAAGCGCAGAGGTCGACCATCCGGCAGCAGCAGTGCCAAGAAGGATGCGAGGACGGCAGCTCCCGATGCGCTGAGACGATCGAGACCAGTGGAAGATTCGGCCGAGTCGGATGTGTCGCTGGTCGACGGCGGCTCCGACGAGGCTTCTGAAGCGGACGACGCCGAGCAGTCGGATGCGGATGTCATGTCGTCCGACGGCGAGGCAGGAGCAGCTGCACCCCGACGACTCAAGTCCAAGAAGCGCAAGGACTGGCCGAGCGAGCGCGAGCGTCTGCGCAAGTGGCGCCGCCTCAGCGTTCAGGAGCGCGAATGCATCACTTCCGAAGGCGGCCTCATCTGGCGCACAGCCATGTAAGCTTTGCCTCTCCCACCGGAGTCTCGGCTCAGATCGACCGTACTGACGAGCTTGTCTTCATTTTGCTATACAGTCCGCTGCTCAACTCGATGCCCAAGAACATCCGATCCATGGTGGCCGACAGTCTGACGCGCGCGCTCAACCGCATCGACGGCAAGCTCGAGACGGGGCTCGTGCCACCGCTGGCGCGCATTCCGCTGGGCAGTGCTACCAACACGAGTCGGCGCGATCTGCCGAGCAGCATGCTCGCCTGGCGTCTCGAAGAGGAAGGCTCGCTCCTCCGCGCCGAGGCAGGCGACACGCCCGAGGCCAGGTCGATCGACACCATGAGTCTGGGTATGAACGCCGAGATTGTGAGTCTTTCTTCACTTCCATCTGCCTTGTTGCGCGGGCTTACTGATTTGCATTTGGGTGCGCGGAAAATGCAGACGGAGCTGGAGCAGATGTTGTTGCCCGAAGCCGAGCAGATTGTCGGCCTGTCCAAGACGCTCGAACACCAGACACAGCAGCTGGAACAGTCGCAGGCCGATATCGCCCGGCTCAAGCGCGAACGCAAGCTCATCAAGTCGCAGGGAACTTCCGACTACCCTCCCAATCTCGAGGTGCGTTCTTTCTTCCTCGCTCCTCGCCCCACGAGTGAGACCACGCCTGTGACATTGCTGACAATTTCTCTCTATGTTTTGTCGTCTAGGCTCACGATTTGCTCTCTGCCTCGGCGCAGAAACCAGAATTGGACGCCACGCTTGGCTCCTACTTTCGTCTCGGGCGTCAGTCCTAGCTTCTATACCCGGGTACCGCTTCGAACGTACTATCTTCCCACTCACGCGACAGTGACCATGAATCGACGACCACTCCGCTCGCAACACACAGTGAACGCACGCGCGAGAGAGATTGCGGGTGAAGACAGGTCGAAATGCAAATGACAGGCTGACAAAAGAAAGAGGGATCGTGGTGCTGCGCACGTGCGCATGTAAACGAGGAAAAGCGAAGAAAACGAATCCGTTGGACTGAGATAGAGAGGGGGGAGAGACGAGGAAAGTAATTGTTCAGGTGGTGCAAGACAAGTGAAAGCAACTTTTTGCTGGGAAGCGTTGACGAATGCGCGGGGATCGATCCAAATAGGCAGCCTGCCATCGTGCAGCGGCGCGCGCGCTTGACCGGCGCTGCCGACGATGAGAAAATCGAGGAAGAGCGAGTGCGTGGCGATCAACGGTCACCAAACGGATCGGTGCGGCTCTTAGAGCTGCCGGTCTCGCTGCCGTTGCCCGCAGGACCCGGGGGCGGGGTGAGGCCCATGCCAAGGTGGCCAAAGATGAGGTCCTCGTCGAGCTGCGTCGAGCGCGCCAATGCACGGTGGCTGAAGTTGGGCATGATGTTGTAGCTCTGCTGGTGCCACTTTGTCGAGTTGCCCGACGAAGCGGCAAACGAACGGCCGGCACCCACGCCAGCCATGTTGCCGCCAAACTCGCTCACGGGCGCCGACGACACGGACGCACCCGAAGGCATGGGCGGCGCATCGGCAAAGCCGGCGGTCATCGAGGCGACCGAAGGAGCACGCGAGTAGTTGGTGCCGCGGATCGATCCGGCCGGCGTCGCCGGTCCCGAGCGCGGCGGGAAGACGGGAGTGCGATTCAAGCTGTTCTCGCTCGGCGCGATCGAGGGGCTGCTCGGGCCGGCGGTGGATGCAGCGGGTGCAGCGGGTGCAGCGGCGGGCTTGGGGATCACCTTGAACGATCGTGAGGGCGAAGCGGGGACCGGAACCTCGGCCGACTGTTTGGACGTGGACGAGTTGCTTGACGCCGAGGGAGTCTCGACCGAGGGGGCAAGTGCGCTCGACTCGGGCACGGCAGGCGGGTATGGCAGCTTGTTGGTGCTCGTGTCCTTGGAGGCGCGCTTGAAGCCCCACTTGCTCGACTTGTCCTTCGTGTCCTTGTTGCTTGCGGCGGCGGCGGCAGCAGCTGTGGTGGCTGCTGCTGCTGCTGCGCCTCCAGCTGCGAGAGGGGCGACCGAGGCATCCTTGTTGGCTGTCGCTGGGCTCGAGGCCGAGTAAGGTGGGTGAGAAGCGGCGGCGGAAGCGGAGGGATTGGCAGGAGGCACGGCCGCCATTGTGTTCTGCTTGGGTGAGGCAGCAGCAGGCATGGGGGTGGGCAGCGCAGGGACGGGAGGAGGCGCCTGGGACGAAGGGCTTGCAGAATTGTCCTTGGAGAATTCCGACGAGGGACGTCGGTCGGAGGCGTGGCTGGGCGAGCGGGCGCGAGTGTTTTCGCGCGACTGCTTGCGGGCGGCGATGGCGGCGGCACCGATGCCGCCTGCAGCTGCAGCGGCGCCTGCGGCACCGGCACCGGCTCCGACGTTGGAGCTGGAGGCGGCGTTGTTGTTGAGCGCCGAGTACTGGGTGGAGGTGCCCGAGGGAGCGCCCGAGAAGGCTGAGGTGGAAGGGTCGGCAAAGACGTTTTTGGTGGAGATGTCGCGCATCATTGGAGTGTTGGCGGTCTCCGGGGCAGTGGCAAGCGAGGTGGTGGAGTCGTTGTTGGGAGCGCGGAAGGCGGCCTCGTCTGCTTCGTCGTTGCGGAGGCGGCTCTGCTGCTGGTTCTGCTTCTTCTTCTTGCGCATGAGGCAGAAGGCGACGAGGCCGACGATGACGAGTGCGGCCACACCACCTGCAACGCCACCAGCGATGGCACCGGTGGACGAGGAGGAGCCCGAGCCGGAGCCGCTGTCGTTGGCGGAGCCGGAGGAGCCGCCACCACTGGTGTTGGAAGCACGGGGCGAGGAGGAGGTGGCGGTGCCGAGGGCGGTGGTGGAGGTGGTGAGGGTGGTGCCGCACTGGAAGGCGAGCGGCTGGGTGATTCTTGGGTAGGCGGCGATGGGCTCCTCGTTTGTGTCGAGCAGACGGAAGGTGACGTCCTGAGTGCCGGAAGTGGTGGGACCGGAGCCCTGGAAGAAGGGGGCATACCACTGGTAGGTGTTGGTGTTGGCGTAGGCCGAGTTGAACTGGATCTCGGAGATCATGTTGTCGCCGATGTAGACGCCAAGGTAGACGGCATCGCGCGCTTCGGCGGCGGTGAGGCTGAGGGTGAAGTAGAGGTAGTTGCAAGAGATCTGGGTGACGGCGACCTGTGCAGCTTGCGCCAGCTGTGCGAGCGCAAGCAGGGCAGCCACAAGGCCGATGCTGCTGAAAAAGTGCATGTTGGCTGCAGTCGCTACGATCGAGGTGTGAGGTGTAACGGGGTGGGATGTGGGATGCGAGAGTATGGACTCGGAGGCGGCAGCCTTGGGTGGATGTTTTGGCCGAACACCGATGGACGCGAGATCGAATCGGGTGACGACGAGGAGACCGAGAGGTGGAGAGGAAAGAAGGGAAAGTCGGAGCACTCGCCGTGGTTCAAAGTCAGGTAAAGAGGAAGGAGATACCCAGACTGATGGTGACAAACACGGAGTGGAGACAAGGATAGCCAGCAAGAGGAAAGGGGACGACGATTCCTCGCACACAGCGGGCGGCGGTAGGCAGTGAGTGAGCTTCTGGAGCGGGACCGATGATGGGCTGTTTGGCGGGCGGGCGGGCGGCTGCTGCTGCTGCTGCTGTTTCGGTTGCTGCAGAGGGTTGAGGACGTGCAGTGCAGCCTGGCGGGATCGAATTTGAGGCGGCGGAAGGCAAGGGTAGGGTCACTGCAGTGCACTCGATTCGATGGTCAGAGGCGGGCAGGCAGGCAGGCAGGCAGGCATTCAGGCAGCGATGCGAGCTGAGTGGGAAACAGACCAAACAGGCGAGGGGTGCGGCCACGGGAGAGCGAAAACAAGCGAAACGGAGGGGCGAGGCAGCAGCGGCGTCAGGCACGGCCCCAAGAGAGGCAATCTCGCCCACAGCCAAGCGCAACCGCTCAAAACAGCTCTCTCGATCCAACTGCTCAACGTGCTCTGCCGCACAGCCAGCCTGCTTGCCTGCCTGCACGCACTCGGACATCCGAGAGATCCAAAAAAAAAAAAAAA